GGGGGGGGGGGGTGTCTCTTCCCCTTTAAATCTCAGCCCTGGGGGCCCCGCCCCACCCAGCTGCCCCTGATGGGGGCAGGATTTATTTATTCCCCCTCCCCGGGTGGCTCATGGTAGCTGTTGCTGGGGGTGGCCGGAGCAGCTATGGCGAGCCAGTGTTTGGGGCCCCTTTTCCTTCTCCTCTGGCTGAGTCTGGGGGCTGTCTCGCTGCCTCCCCTGGGTGAGTTGGCCTGGGGCCCCCCCCCAGCACCCTGGCCCCTCCCCATGCAGCTGGGGGCAGAGAGGAGGGGCTGGCCACAGCTGAGCCCTGTCCAGGACTCCTGGGTTCTTTCTCCCACTCTGGGAGGGAAGTGGGGTCTAGTGGTTAGTGGGGGAGGGGGCTGGGAGCCAGGACTCCTGGGTTCTCTCCCTGGCTTGGGGAGGAGTTGGGCTGCTCTGGGCAGGCTCTCACTTTGCCCCCCTCCCCCCATCCTGCCCCCCAGATTACCCTGTGAGGCTGTACTCCGAATCCTCCCGCCTCTCCACGGTCCTGCGCCTGCGCCCTGCGTACTGCCTCTACGAGCGATGGCGCCAGGCGAGCGTGGACCCCAGCCAGGCACCCCGGGCATTGGCCACGATCCAGGTGCACGTACAGCCTTCAGGTATGGGGAGGGGAGTGGGGTCTTCTGGTTAGAGCGGGGGGAGGGGGCTGGGAGCCAGGATTCCTGGGTTCTCTCCCTGGCTTGGGGAGGGGAGTGGGGTCTAGTGGTTAGTGCTGGGAGCCAGGACTCCTGGATTCCTGGGCTGTTACTCCATGTTGCTGTCTGTCCCCAGGGGACAATGCCACCTACAAGGTGCCCCAGGGCTTCCTGGTGCCCCCCTGCAGCCCCCTGTTTGAGGAGCCCCCCCTCCCGCAGGAATTTGCCTATGACGTGGGGCCAGGCCTGGCCTGCTTGAACGACACCTGCACCCGGGACCTGCTCCCTGGCCGGAGCTACAGGTAGTGTGTGGGGGGGGGGTGCAGGGAGGGGGAGCCTGGGGTGCTGCCTGGGAGGGTTGAATCTCTGGGTGCAGGGTGTGGGGAGCATATAGGAGTGTCTGGGGCTGGCTGAGATTGTGGGGGTGAGGAATGGGGAGTGGGGTCTAGTGGTTAGAGCAGGCGGTCTGGGAGCCAGGACTCCTGGGTTCTCTCTCCTGGAAGGGGAGTGGGGTCTAGCGGTTAGAGCCCGGGGGCGGGGGGAGGGTCGTGAGCCCGGACTCCTGGGTTCCCTCCCTCTTCATAAGCACCAGCTGCCTTGCTTTCTGCAGGGTGCGGTTTGCTCTGTATGGCCGAGCCGTGACCCCGGTGACACTGACGAACTGGTCTCGACCCTTTGAGACGAGAGGTGAGACTGGTTTGGGGGGGCGGAGGGAATGGGACACTGGGCCTTTCCCCTCCAGGGGGCGCCGGCTGCCAGATCTGGAGGTGTGGCTTAGTCTGGCCACGCCCCCCCCCTGCATGGCAGGACTAAGCCCCGCCTCTTTGCCCCTGCGGCTTTCCCCCCCAGGTCTCCCCCGCAGCTTCCGCGCCATGGAGCCCGGCCCCGGCGGGCGCTCGGGGGGCAGGGTGATCGTCACCGTGCTGCTGAGCGTCTCCCTCCTGCTGCTGCTCGCTGCCATGGGGTTGGCCCTGGTCCTGGGGCGCCGCTGACCCCTGGTGACCAGAGACATGCCTCCTCCTGCTGGGGGGGGGACGATCCCCCTCGCGTATCGCATGGACTCCCTGTCACTGCATCAATAAATACTTGGCTTTCTACCTCCTGGTGTCCGTCTATCTGTCCAGCGTGCCGGGAAAGGAGCAGAACCGCAGTGCTGGGCCGGCCCCACAGGCTGTCCGGCCCCCAGGCTCCTGTGGGGTGCCTGGTTTGGGGCAATTCTGAAGTGATCCGTCCCCCACTCCCAGCTTCTGCCAGTCAGAGGTTCAGGGACACCCAGAGGATGGGGGTTGGCTCCTGGCCCCTCTTGGCTAATAGCCATCAATGGACCTATACTTTAGGCCTTCACAACATCCTGTGGCAGGGAGTTCCCCAGGTTGACAGTGCGTTGGGTGAAGAAATACTTCCTGCTGGTTGTCTTAAACCTGCTGTCTATTCATTTCAGTGTGTGGCTGCTGGTTCTTGTCAGGTGAAGAGAGGGGGGGGGGGAGAAATAACATGTTCTCCAAACCAGTCCTGATATTACAGATCCCAGCATATCTCCCCCCTTCGTCATCTCTTTCCCAAGCTGAACGCTCCCTGGTTTTTCAATGTGTCC